CGTGGAAGCGCAAGCTTACGAATCACAGATCAAAGCGCAGCTGTCCGAGAACTTCAACTACCGGGTCCAGACGGACCTCTTCTTCATCTTCGAGAAGGCCTTCATTGTTGTGGCCGGCGAATGCATGCGTTGGTGTTTTTGGCCGAAGAGTTCTCAGAGAAGACGGCCGACGACGAGTGCATGGCAGTTCTTTCCAGGAGCTGCATCAGGCACCTCGGCCCCGTGGCTTCTCCTTTTGGTCGCCGACCAGGATGGGGCCGTCGCGAGTGAGCTTGTGGGCAAGTGCTGTGGGCAGTTCAACGTCGCCCGGGACTTCGGAGGCTCGCAAGGACATGCGGCGGCTTCTCTTGCAGAGAGGTGGATCGAGATCACTGGGGCGGGGGCGCAGAAGTTGCGGGCGACTGTCAAGAAGCAGGGCCTCACAACGACGAAGGGCCAGGTGGTCTGCGAGGTGGCCATGTCCACCAACGGCATGGTCAGCTATGCTGGTGCGACACCCGCCCAAGCACGCCTTGGGCATCAACCTCGCGAACTCTACGATCCTGAGACCAGGGCGCTCTCGGCAGCTGCTGGGGCAGTCGAGACCGCTGCAGGTGCCGCCGAAGTAGGCGTGCGTCTCATGATGTTTGCGAGGGAAGCCATCTTGCAGAGCATTGTGGAGGACAGGCTCTGCGTGGCGCAGAACGCCAACACGCGGAAGTTCAAGCCGGAGGAGCGAGCCAACTTGATCGACGGTGCGAAGGCCGACCTCTGGCGCGAGCCTGACAGCGAGGGCGATCCTGGCTGGCGTGGGCTATGCGAAGTCATTCAGGTCTACGCAGACGGTTCGAGTGCAGTGGTCGACTGGAGAGGCCACGTCGCGCTGGTGCCCACCAGGCACCGCAGGCGTCGCATGGGCATCGTTTGGCTTCAACCACGTGGAGCTCAGCGCAGCTACGCAGTGCAGAATGAATTCAACGATATCGTGAGGCACGTGATGGAGATGGTGGGATCAGGTGCAGCTTTCTCGCCGTGCGTCTATGGGCTGGCATACTCAAACGCGACGCGGAACTACATCCTGGCGCCGCCCGGCCTCGGGCATAATCCATCGCCCATGTGGGCAGCTGCCGTCGGGTCTTCACCAGCGTACTCACTGGCGCGAAATTCGACGGCATCCAGTGCGTCAACACATGCGAGCGCACAACGGTCATTCCTGCAGCTCAGCGAGGACAGCTCATCACCTGGAAGAACAGCAGACGCGAGAGCTACATGATACGAGACTCTGTTTTTGGCAAGGCGCTTCCCTTGTCATTCGCTGGGCCTTGGAAGAAAGAGAGCTTCGTGCTCTATTTCAGTTGCAGCAAGCCAAAGACGAGGATGGCGACAACGGCGAGGTGGAAGTTGATCGCAGCGGTATCTGTGGAGTATCACCTATTCCATGCACAGCGTCGCCGTGGAGTTCGCGCGCGGGCTCATGGCTAGAAGAGGGAGATGCATATAGAGAAGACCATGCACCATTGCTTCCGCCACATCCGCTTGTCAAGGGCACCGCCTCCGACAGTGCCTCCAGCACCTCCGGCGCGAGTCGCAGCCGGCGAACAGCCAGATGCAACGCCGCTGCTCATGAAATCGCCAGTGCCAGTGCGGGCAGTGCCTTCCGCAGCTCAAGCGCCAGCTCCACTCGCGTACATCGGTCACCTTCGGTATCTTTCGACCTCGCGCCATAGATCATGCGGGAAGACAGGCGCCCACCTCCGCCTCCACCAGGAGGCGCCTCAGCTTCGACGGCCGCGACAGGTTTTGCACCGCCTGGAGGGCCAGCTGCTATCGACCCAGACGAGATCGGCAACGCCGAGCTGGAGCAGGATCATCGGCCGACTCACCTGATGCACCCGGCCGCTCGAGATCGAGAATCTTCGAGAGAGCATCAATGCCTGCGTTGGGCGACGTGACAATGCCGTCATTGCCTCTGCCGGCGCCGAGTCCTACATCACCGTCAGCGACGAAGTCCGCCGCCCAGTCTTCAAAAGAAGAAGAGGGCACCATTGACTGCGGCAATGCGAATGCAGACGCGATCGACTACGGCAAGCCGAGTTCCCCACTACTACCGACCCTACCCGACGTCAGTGTTCTTCTGCCAGAAGTTCGAGAAGGACGGACCTTCGCCATCAATATTGGAGTTGGGTCGCTTTCGGACTGAAGACTATTGACCTGCTCAAGCACCTGCAGCCAAAGACGCTCGGCCGTAATGGCCTGCAGTGCCTGGGCCCATCCTTCCAGTGGCCGAACCCGTCGATCCGCAGGTGACTATCGACTACGGTCCAAGGGCCAGCGAGAAGGTTGCTGAGGACAAGCAGGAGAAGCTGGAGCCCCACAGCTACCAGGTCTGGTTCGACACGAAGCAGGCAGAGAATCGGCTTGGTCAACCTGTGCGCCAGGTGGCGCCTATAAGATTTATGCCGAAGTTCGACGAGGAGTATCTCTTGCGTGCTATTGCGGAGGCCGATCAGATTCTTTATTTCATGCAGCAAGAATCGAGTGGCTCACTACCATGAAAAGCTGAAGGCGCGTTTGCAGTACTCGGGTCCAGTGACCATTGCGCCTCAAGGGGTCATTGAACGTTGGGATGCAGTGGAGATAGGCGGCTTCGAGTAAGCAGTGCCACTCTACAGCCGCGACGTCTTCGAGATCGGCCCGACCGCCACGGCGCGAACGTGGGCGACGGCATCTGGGTCAGGAAGTGGAAGAACAGGCAGAAGCGCATCGGGAAGCTAAGGTGTTGTGGTCGTGGTTTCTTGGATCGTCAGAGTACAGTGAGCCGGCGCTCCTCAACGGCGTCGTGGTTGAGTCATCGGCTACCATGTTCACTAGCTATGCAATTTGAGCTCACTCCAGAGAGCTTCATTTCAACGGCGTTTCTTCAAGGGCTGTACTTCCCGGAATTGCCAGCAAGGGGAAGGAGCTTGGCCGCGAGGTTCAGGGGGCCAGACAGGTGTGATTTCGCCCGCCGGCAAACATATGGCGTCATGAGAGAAGTATTCCACGTAGTCGCATCGCAGTGATGGATGGAGATATTCCGCTGTTCATCCTCAAAGTGCCTAAAGGCTGTGTATGGTGTGGTGGATGCGCCGCTGCTGCGGCAGTTCGCGCTCCTTCATTGCCTCAAGCTGGACATGGCCTTGAGGATGAGCACTCGCGACGAACGTTTCCTGATGATCATTGACGGCTGGGGAGTTGTGGCTTTATGCGCCATTCGTGTGGACGATCTGTTGCTTGCGGCGACCTCGTTCTTCTTGGCCAGTTCGCGACGAAGCTGGGCAATAAGTTTGGCAATCTCGAGCGAACGGGATTATCTTTCACGCGCCTGGGCATGGAGCGCGAGCTACCCGCGCCAGGACACCTCCTGTCACATCAACAACGCTACCTGGAGAAGCTGCTGGGTGCCGAGGTTACGGACGTCGATCGCTTCGAAAAGGGCGCCCAGGACCTGGGCGAGTTCAAGTTCGAGCACCGTCGGTTTCGATCTCTGGTGTGCAGCTTGCTATGGCTATGTCCTACAAGGATGGGCACCGCCCGCGACGTTGTCTCACCGCAGTCAGAGATGGTACACTCTCAGATAAAGCATCCCAAGAGTGCCAACCGAGTTCTAGCCAAGGCCAACATGACGAGGCTGATGAACAGGATTCGTTAGCAAAGAGTACCCTTCCCCGTAAGGCCATGCAGTGTCCATAATTCTGGTCGCGCCAGCAATCAGAGCTGTTATCCATATGAGGGCAATCCAGTTCTGCCGATGCACGCCTCGCTGAAGGCAGACACTCCAGAGTGGATTTAAGGGGGAGATCTGTCACGAGTTGGAGGCTGCGGACACGCACTCTTCTTCAGTGCTCGGAAAGCCTCGAGAGTGTCGCAATCAACATTGCACGCGGAGACATCTCCAGCCATTGGATGTACGCAGATGGGGCAGGTCATGCCATCGCAGCGAGGTTCACGGTTTTGATCGGCAGAGTTATTTTGCCAGAAGGTCAGGAAAACATCACAGCTCATGCCGTGCTGAAGGTGTCCTTCCAAGATATGGCAGCCATTCCACGTGATGCAGTAGCCGACTGCATGGGCCTCTTCTAGATGATCACTGGAGGCCGTGGCGAGCCTTCCCGCAAGTCTCAACGAGTGGCCATCCTGGTTCTACGAGAAGACAGGGTTCATCACAGGATGCCTTCGTTGCTTTATGTACCGGCACAATCAATGTTGGCAGATGGGCGCACGAAAGAAGATTGGTTCGATCTCCTGCTGTTCTACGTTGCTACCTGCAAAGTGGAAGCTCACCCTGCTCGACGGCCAAGGAGGAGTCAGGCGCAAGCGTGCCACACTACACCTGGGAACTACTGCGAAGAACCTCGTGGATATCCAGGAATACCAGACCACGAAATTCGAGTGTGTCAACATGCGTTGCAGATGGCTGGGAAGATAGCCCGATACTTATATGCACAGTGATGTGGAACAGGAAGAAGTGAGTGACGGGTTCTGTCTTTTCTGTTCCCTCCTCATCATGATGTGTTCTAGTACCTGGTATGTTCCGCATGAGATCAGGCGCGTAATATCGGCTTGGCGATCCAGCTTGAGATGAGAAGCGCATAGTTTCATGTCGCCTTGTAAACCAGTGTAGTTAATTATGCTACAACCCAGTGTACAGCGTAGTCGGTGACCAACAAATCCGTGGACCGCTCCACGTTCCGCTCGAGTTGAAGTTCATGCAGATCTGTAAAGGACAGGCATCGGAGTTGAATTGCATGTGTTTCAGAGGCTTTCAGACCAGTTCCAGAATCAAGCGTTGACTATATGATCTGCAACAATCATGGCGCAAACCACCCGGTTTGACATCCCCATTGGAAAACTAACTCCTCCCTTCCCCTCCCTCGTGATCCTCCCTCCCCCGTCCCTGCTCCCCCCCGGTTTCCGCATTGGTAGGGATGCGATGTCGGTCTCCCCCCGAGCCTCGGCAGGGGACCTTCCGCTCTCCTCAGGACGACGGCGAGGGCTCGGAGGACGAGCTCGCCGACGAAGCAGGCGACCAGTCGCTGCCGCCCCTCTGGTTCCTCCCTCCCCCCCCTCCGTTTCCCCTTTCCCTCAGCGTCCCCTCACCCCTTCATTTTGCCGTCGCTTCGGCCCGCCGTGCCCTTCCCCCTTGCCCTCGCCCCTCCCCCCCCCCCCTCCCTACCACCCCCACGCCCTCGTACCCCCGCCCCACACGCCCTCGCGCCCCCGCGTCCCCTCCCCCCCCTCGCGCCCCCTCCGCCCATGTCGCCCTTGCGCCCGCACGCCCTTCCCTCCTCGCGATTTTTCCTCCACCCAAAGCGACGCGCTGCCCCGAGCTTCCCCCTCCTCCCCGATGTCCTCTCCCACGCAGGCCCGCCTCCTTTCCTTTCCCTTCGCTTCCCCCCGAGCTCCTTTGCCTGCCCCTCGCCCCGATCCTCCTCCTCCGTCCTCTCCCTTGTTCCCGCCGCTCCCGGCGCCCAGACAACATCCCGCACTACAGGGCCGACGGCAGCCTCGTGGGAGTGGTGGGAGGCCCCGCCCCCGCGGTGGGAAGAGGGGGAGGAGGAGGCGGAGGAGGAGGAGGAGGAGGAGGAGGAGGAGGAGTTGGAGGAGGAGGAGGAGGGAGCAGGAAGAGGGAGCAGGAAGAGGGAGCAGGAAGAGGGAGGAGGAGGAGGCAGGAGAATGTGGAGGATGATAATGCTGATGATGTTGATGCTGATGACGATTCGTATCGAGATGACTATGAAAAGGAAACTGATGATGGTGGTGGTGATGATGGTGATGATGAGATTGACGATGATGACGATGATCATGACGATGACGATCACGCAGTGGATGTTGCTGGATGATGATGATTGTGATGGTGGTGATGATTATTATGATGATGACGATGATGATGATGCTGCTGCTGATGATGATGATGATGATGGCTGTGCTCGTGGTTGTGGTTGTTGTTGTGGTTACTGTTATGGTTGTAGTGGTGGTTGTGGTTGTTGTTGTGGTGGTGGTTGTGGTTGTGGTTGTGGTTGTGGTTGTGGTTGTTGTTGTGGTTGTGGTTGTGGTTGTTGAACATTATTCCTTCTAAAGAATTATTATTGTTGGGACCCCTGGTGCGCGACCTCTGCGCCGCGCCTAGGCCGCAGCTACATTTTCATCATTTTTTCGCGAAAGCTTCAGAAAAGTGGATGAGCTCCGGATCCGGTTTTTTGTTGACGCTCGTTTTCCCTTGCAAAAAACAATAGAAAATGAAAATTCTTGTTTTTACTTGATCAAATTGCAAGAATCCCTTGCAAAAAATAAGGTAAAGTGGACATTCGTGCGCGCAAGACGAAATCCTTCCAAAACCTTAGGTTTCGTAACGATTTTAACATAAAAACATCAAAAACCCAATGGTTTTCTCAGAAAAAATTGTCAAAATGTCCTTCCGCGCGCTCTTGCGGATTCCTAGGAAACCCACCAGATTTTAAACATTTCTGTTAAAAGGGCCTTTGCGAGGAACCTTTTCAGGTGCTTCGACCTTCTGCAACAACGGTTGCGAGCCTACGAGGGCCACCATCCCTTGCAAAAAATGACACGAAGTGCACATGCGCGCGGCCGCCGCGCGCGCGTGCCGAAATCCTGCCAAACATAATGTGATTTCAATAATTTCAAGATGCGATGTTCCGAAAACATATGCAAACGTGTGCGTTCAAGATGCGTACCATCTCACGTGTACCGTTCCACATCTTCTCAGGTTGCCTCACACATGTGACGAATCTCTTTCTATCTCTCTCTCCACTGGCTCTCTGTCTTGCTCTCTCTCTCTCTCTCTCAGTCTCTCTGTACTATGTATGTCATACGCAACAAATGCACCATGCGGGGCACATGCGGGGCCCAAACAAGTGATCAACCTCTGCGGGTGTGTACTCCACGCCAGTGTAGTATCCACGATCGTCCGCGCGCCACGAAGTGAAGTGTCCTGACGTCATAGGGCGGGAAGCTGGGTGTGGGTGGTTCCCGAGAGTCGTGTGGATGTTTGGTAGAGCTTGCATTGCCCCCCCACGAAGTGGGGGTATTGGCTGGCGTCGCATGAAAACCCTGGCACTGGGGAGAACACTGAGCGTTCGGGTAAAATGATTGTTGTTGTTGTTGTTGTTGTTGTTGTTGTTGTTGTTGTTGAAGTTTCATTTCTGAAGAATTATCATTGTTGATCCCCCCTCACCGATGCATATTGTTTTTGTCAATCAAAGTGTGCCCCTCGACGCTCGCACTCTTTTTTTTGACAGTGGAAGTCTTGATGCTCAAACTGTGCCACTGGCCCCCGGGTTACAACAACAACGGCTCCCGCCTGAGGGTCTCCTCATGATTTAGCCAGGACCCCCGCTTCCGCTCGAGACTTCCTCGCATTTGATTCGGGAATCGCGCTCTCGCTTAGGACTTCCTGACCATTTATTTAGAATCGTTTTCTCGGCGCTCTGGAATCGCGCTCTCGTTGGGGACTTGCTTGCAATTTACTTACGATTAGCGCCCTTGCGTTGGAATTTCCCGCAGTTTATTCAAGCGCCGCGCTCCCAACACTCAGGCACCCAGGAGTCGCGCTCACGCTTAGGGCTCCATCACAGATTTTTTAGGAAACGGGATCTCGCTGCCTTTCGTGGCCCCGTTGCAGCCCTTCGTGGCCCCCTCGCTGCCCTTCGTGGCCCCCTTGCAGCCCTTCGTGGCCCCCTCGCTGCCCTTCGTGGCCCCCTTGCAGCCCTTCGTGGCCCCCTCGTTGCCCTTCGTGGCCCCCTTGCAGCCCTTCGTGGCCCCCTCGCTGCCCTTCGTGGCCCCGTTGCAGCCCTTCGTGGCCCCCTGGCTGCCCTTCGTGGCCCCGTTGCAGCCCTTCGTGGCCCCCTCGCTGCCCTTCGTGGCCCCGTTGCAGCCCTTCGTGGCCCCCTCGCTGCCCTTCGTGGCCCCCATATATGAATGCCCTTCGTGGCCTCCGCTCGTTCGCGCCCGTCGTGGCCCCATAGGCATGCCCTTCGTGGCCCCGCTGTCGCCCTTTGTGGCTCCCTCGCTGCCCTTCGTGGCCACGGTGCTGCCCTCAGTGTCCCCGTCTTTGCCCTCCGCGGCCCAACATATGTATGCCCTTCGTGGCCCCCGCTCGCTCGCGCCCGTCGTGGCCCCAAATGCATGCCCTTCGTGGCCCCGTTGTCGCCCTTTGTGGCCCCCTCGCTGTCCTACGTGGCCCAGTTGCTACCCTCAGTGGCCCCGTCATTGCCTTCGGTGGCCCCGCATTATCTGCCCTTCGTGGCCCCCGCTCGTTCGCGCTGTTCGTGGTCCCATACGCATTCCCTTTGTGTCCCCGCTGTCGCCCGTCGTGGCCTACTTCGTGCCCCCGGTGGCCCCGCTGTCGTTCTCTCTCGCTCTCGCTTTCGCTCGTCGTCGTCGTCGTCGTCGTCGTCGTCGCCGTCGTCGTCGTCGTCGTCGTCGTCGTCGTCGACGTCGTCGTCGTCGTCGTGGTCAGTCCCCTGTCCGTCCCTCTTGGGGTCGGGTTGCCGCCGATCAGCGCTGCCGCTGGCCAGGCCGACGGTCCGCGGCCGCCCCGCCGCTTTCGGGGGCCTGGCCTGCAGGGAAGGAAGGTTTACCTCCCAAAGGGGTACGATCGAAGACGAAGACGGCGGGTATCGAGGGTTCGGGAAGTACGCGTTAACGGACACTCGAGCAGATTGGAGCGAACAGTCTTAAAATGATTGTTGTTGTTATTGTTATTGTTGTCGTTGTTATCGTTGTCGTTGTCGTTGCTGTTGCTGTTGCTGTTGCTGTTGCTGTTGCTGTTGCTGTTGCTGTTGCTGTTGCTGTTGCTGTTGTTGTTGTTGATGTTGTTGTTGTTGTTGTTGTTGTTGTTGGACTATCATTTCAGAAGAAAAGTGTTTTTTTCGATTGAAGTGCCCCTCCCGGGGCTCGCACTCGTTTTTTTTTATCAGGGAAACTCTTGAGGCTCAAACTGTGTCGTTGGCCCCCGATTTACAACAACAGCGGCTCCCGCTTGATACTTCCTTACAATTTATTGAAGAATCGCGCTCTCGCTTGGGACTCCGGCAATTTACCACCGATTCGCGGCTCCCGCCTGATACTTCCTGACCATTTATTGCAGAATCGCGTTCTCGCTTGGGACTTCCTCGCAACTTACCACCGAACCGCTTCGCTTGATATTTCCTCACAATTTATTCAGATGCCGGTCCTCGACACTCATGAATCGCGCTCCCGCTACATATTGCCGGGTGGTTCAAGCAGGACTCACGCTTCAACTCACGCTTCAACGACCCGCCCGCTCGAACCGCCCGTCGGGGCCTGCCCGCCCGACCAGCCCGTTAATGACTGCAGTCGCCGCTCGCTGCCCTTCGCCCGCCTTCGATGTCCCTCGCTGCCCGTACTGGTTCCGCGGTCGCCTTCGCTCGCTGCCCTTCGTGGTCCCGTTGCTGCCCTCAGTGGCCCCGTCGCTGCCCTGTGTGGCCCCGCATCATATGCCCTTCGTGGCTCCCGCTCGCACGCGACCGTCGTGTCCCCATACGCATGCCTTTCGTAGCCCCGCTCTCGCCCTTCGTGGCCCCCTCGCTGCCTTTCGTGGCCCCTTTGCTGCCCTCAAGGGCCCCGCTGTCGCCCTTTGTGGCCCCGTATACGAATGCCCTTTGTGACCCCCGCCCGCTCGCGCCCGTCGTGGTCCCAAATGCATGCCCTTCGTGGCCCCGCTGTCGCCCTTTGTGGCCCCTTCGCTGCCCTTCGTGGCCCCGTGGAGCTCCCTATGGGGCCACGAAACGTGTGAGGGGTGTGCTCATATGGGTGTGCGTGACGCATGCGGGCGGTGGCACTGGGGCCTTCGGAGGAGCTCCCTGTGGGGCCACGAAACGTGTGAGGGGTGTGCCTAAATGGGTGTGCGTGACGCATGCGGGCGGTGGCACTGGGGCCTTCGGTGGAGCTCCCTATGGGGCCACGCAACGTGTGAGGGGTGTGCCGACATGGGTGTGCG